ATATATATATATATATATATATATATAGAGAGAGAGAGAGTTTTCTTTCATAGACTGTTATATGTTAGCTCGATTGCACTTGGCACTGACGCGTAGCTACGGCACTGTCGAGGCTAGAGAAGCAAGCAATGGCCGCGTGGCGGTAAAACCCCGTATACGCGTCACCGAAGAATATTTTCTCAGTATAATCGAATTGAAAACTGTTTGTTCAATTATGTTCCATACTTTCTTCTTCGGAGAAGCCTACAAAATACGATACTGGATATCAAATTCCTGTCAGATAAAGAACTTTTCATAAAAATGCACGAACAGTATGTATAAAGTATGTTCCGCGATTAATTTTTGAACTTTGATAACCAAATATAAATATTCAAAACCGCAAATAATTATAATTATGAACATCGATAGACGTAGAATACTCTCCACTAGCTTGTAACGCAACAATAAATCTCCTAACTTTTCTACTTTCTACGTAATACTTCGTTTTATTACAAAATCCCGCGTTTTTAGAAAAACTCACAATTCTCGAAAATCGAAAGTGATGGAACAATTTCGATCACGAATTCCTGTTGAGGAATCCACAAGAATTGTCCAATTACAGATTAAAATTCGTATCGAACAGTGTTATCGATTCACTCGATCGAAAGTAAAGTATAGCGGTACATCGTTACAAAAATAATTGCGATCATTAACGGTACATCGATAATTTATACGAAAGAATTATTTGTATAATTACAATATACGAAATACCGAACAAGAAAGATGTCAAAATATCATCGAGCATGTTTTCATCATCAGTGATATCAAACACGTTTCACGACGCGCAGATCACCAGTAAACAAAGCTATTTTTCAACTCACAGTAAACGACACGAACTATAGCGCTATTACTGTTCCGCAGCAACTAACTTTTCGCACCGGATGAACTTGCATGAAAACACTGCTGAGTCAGCAATTTTTCGAGTCTGTGGCGCCACCGTCGATCCTCTTTACTTCCCCATGGAACTTTCCAGTCAATTATACATACATACTATTAAAAAGATAAGTTTAATTATATAGAAAAATCAATTCAGAATATTAGATGCGAATAAATAATTTATCAAACCTACATTCCGAGAAAGAATGTTTATATAAACATCGGATAAGAATTGGGGCGAGAATTAAGGCGAGCTGCATCACGTATCCTCTGGACACTCACTCTCGATCGTTCTACAGAAGCACTCAAATGTATACTTTTCCTTTGAATAATAAAAGAATTTAAAAGAGAATATATAAATCGTGATTATTTTACAATTATAAACCTGTAATCCCAATGTGTACCGAAACTATCACATATTCAAACGCGATTTTTGGTCCTCGAGAATCACATAACCTACAAAATCTCGCTGCGTCGAATATCGTTACACTTAACCACGAACGCCGGAGAATTTCCCGTTCGGGCGAGCAGTGAACTCGCTGAAATCTCAGTTGCCCTGTGTTCCTTTCTACCTCGTTTTCGTGGCCACATTCCAGACAATTACGTTTCGTTAAGGAACAGCATCACGGCGAGCGAAGCAGCCGAAACTGGAAGATACCGTTACCGGCAAGGAACACGGTTTTCGTCGACGAGCTCCGATATAACTTATTCTTAATTGCTCGAACGAGAAGCAAGGATAGAGACACGTACGGTCCACGAGCGGGTGTATTACTGTGTACAAGCGTGCGCATGCGTAGACGAGCGTTGGGGACTCGTGTGGTTTGGTCACGTACGAGGATTTTTCTGGCCGCTCGACAAGCGGATTGAATCGTGGCGAGGAAACGGGCGCACGTTACGCTTTTAAAGGCGGCTGTCAGCCTGACAAGCGACGAGTTGTTACCGTTCACTGCGCCTCGAACTCGCGCCACAGCCGGCGATTGTTCGGATAGGGACGGTTTTTCAAGGCCAGCGGCTCGTACCGCAACGAGAAATATTTATTCGCGCTCTTATCGCCAGAGGCTCACTTGTTATTGCCAAACTGGACGGGAACGCTTGTCTGCGCAGCTCTTATCGGACGAGGAAGGTTCAACATCCAATCTGAGGTCGCGAAACGTACGCTGGACGGCAACGCACCAGGAAATTCGATCGATGGTACACATAACCTCTCATTCGCTGCGGGTCCTTGGGTTCTAGCTTCGGTGTTCTGCAGACTACTTTGTTTAACACTACCAAATGGAATGGAAATGAATCTTTCAGATATATCTTTACAATTTTTCGAATATGTAAACTGCTATTCACAAAATTCATGCTTACCTCCATTCGGATCAAAATGTAATTATTTATAGTTATTCATCTTCCTCTACGATTATCTTCGTTCGTGTAGTTCTAGTATTAAGTAGGGTGTTCTTGTAAACCGACTTAAAGAAATCGATTTTTTTTTTTTACGTATTCTCGAAGTATATGTTTTTGGAAATGTCTGTGTGAAAGGATTTGTTCGAATTCGTAAAATTGGCAAAGTTATAGGTGTTTAAAGTGCGACATACAGGTATGGCACAATGGTTAGCGAAAACTTCAAACGCGTTTTTCTCGAGACTGTACCTTTTCAACTGGCTGACGGAATATCTCACGTTTTAGATGACTGATCGACTTGAAATTTGAAGGAGATCTTCACTGGATGTACCTTCATCGCGTGAACCATGGATTTAAAAATTTGATGTTTCTTTCTATTTTTGTTTGCCACTCAAAGAACAAAAAGCACGAAAAAAATCGATATTTAAATTTCAAAATGCTGTCATTTATTTAATTTTCGAAATTTTGCTGTTTCGATGGTGCATGCTATAGTTGCGTGTATACTAATTAAGATGCTTCTTAGATTCTTCGTTTCAGATAATTAAATGATCCGGAATCACGTCGGCCATTAGAGCTCGTTTTTAAAAACACTATTTACCTAAGTCTATATAATTTTCACAATTTTCAATATTTTCATTAAACAAAAATTGGTAATATTCTTCAAGTATAACTAAATCCGTGTGCGAAAACTGTATACCAAAATTTATCATGGTTTTCTTAGAAAAAAATCCCCAAAAAGTCCATTTTTATTGGCCGGATTACCATAATACTCCTGTAAATACCAAACCATTTTCTTTTACTCTTTTTTAAATTTTTCTATTGAATAAGAAAAATATCTGGTTCCTTCTGGATGCTGAAATAGATTTAAAATTTCAAACCAGACCTGTGAATAATTTTTCATTCATAAAATATTGAATATCACAACGGTGATAGAGTTAGTTTCCTATTTAGACTAGGTAATGTATTTAATTAATATGTCTAATTCTATTATGTTTTACTAATTGCGATCTGTATCTTTCACGACATCGTTCTCTTCTTTGTTTAATTCTCATTTTCATTTTTCGATTCAATGCTGAATATGGTCGCTTAATTTTGCTGCGTCTGATGATTCACACGTTGGTAACAGTATGCCTAATTTCACAACGCATCGAGGTTACAGACGAGGTGCCTGTGGGGATATTTGTACAACTTATTTGCAAGTTTTCGTCTGGTTCTTTGGTGCCCCGTTCGAGGACCCACTTCTATCAATATTTTCGAAGCGTCATCGTCGGGCATGTTAATCTCGGTTACAAAATTTTGCGAACTGGTATTAACGTTGTCTCGAGTTCTTGGGGTCCAGACAGTTCGAAGAAATTTCACTGCGAATAATAAAATAATTTTTTCCCTTAAATTTAACATCCGTTTAATTTCATGCCTCGGATCGTCAAATTATTCAAATTATATACCGAATATATGCAAACTAAATTATTCGTTGCTGCGTTACAGCTTACTTCGGGTTCACCAACTCCAGCATTTAATTAACTCAATAGTCGAAGTCACAGAGTGTGCATTTGAAATTTGAAATTCAGTTCAAACTGACGTCTCAAATCGTATTCTCAAAATTCAAATTCGCGAATAAAACGCCGTTCCATCCAACTTGCCGTGCTATCTAAAATTACACAGGAGGTCTAAATTTGGTCAAACAAAATATACAAAGAAAAAGAAAAAAAAAAAAAAGAAGAGAATAACCTTTATAGAATCCGTCTCCACTTCAAATTTCTCGTCGATAAAAGTTCGCAAATACAGTGGCCGCAGAGACTTCTGGTCACAGTGTAGTATCGCCACATTGTCGAGATAACGGGTTTTTAAAAGTAAAATCTTACTGCACAAACATAACGTGTAGGTGTGGCTCGTGGAACACGATATCGAGAATTTTTCTGTAATAATAAATTTTATTTCATTATTCCCATACTTTCCATCCCAAATTCGTTACCGTATGATCAGAAATAAAGTAACTAATAAACTCAGGCTCGGAGTAAAAGCGATATAACCGAGGAAATCGACAGTTCGTTGCGACCGAAAGTGAGGTTATGTTTACAACAACATTACCATATGCACTTTTAGTCGATAAAACACGCGCTATGCGTACTTGTAACACGTCGAAAATTCAGAATAAAGATTTCCTGAATAATTATTTCTTGTATAAATAATTATCTAATATTTCTCGTACTTATCTTTCGTTTGGAAAAATCACCATCGACACGTCGCTGCACGTTCGTGCGAAGAGCCGGGTAAATTAATTCACGAGGAATTCGAGGAAAAAATTATAAATAGTTTAACCAGAAATAGAAGTACTGTTTGGCCGGAAACTTTTGGCAGCGATTTCTAATAAAGCCCCTATTCGCGTTCCACCATATTCAGAATGGACACCTGCCGCGCTCTTCTCATTTTTAGTACGCAGCTCGTGGATCTATTATTCACGTGACCGCTTCTATAATTGCAACGGGACTGCGCATGATTCTCGGAACTCGCGGGAAAAACAAGTCCGATCAGGTTGCACGAGATAAACTGCTCGGGCCGTGGCACTTGCAAAAATAAAATTCGGTTAGACGTCTGTCTGTTACACGGTATTTGCTCAAACGTGAAGTTGTCCCTGTGTATTTTCGAACGTGCGTTTAGCCTCTCGATTAAGTACGTCCACGCCGTTCCAAATCGCTTCGCAAATAAAACCAGATCGAGATAGCGTGATTTCTGCATTCAAATTCGTGGCTTGTCGCGAAACGAACGATAAGACCAGCGACGTGATTCATTATCGGCGTATAATACTGTCGCGGACACGTAGAGCGTTTCGATCTACGGGGTGTTCCGAAAACCATCCGTTTTGAACGATAATCGAAATTTGAAGAAAAATAATATATGATAATCCATATTTTTTTTTTAATTATAGTAATATATTATAAGATAGAATAGATTAATTATAGTAATATACCATATTTATCATATATACCATATTTAGCAATATTTTGTACTGGCTTGAAAAATATTTGGAAATAGACAACAAAGGAAATTATCAAAATGTTAAGAGGAATTTTGAAACAATTTTTAGGTTATTTTTCAACATGATGAAAATTAAGAATATATTTATTCCCTGTCTTTGTTATTTCTCTCTTTTACAGACCTTGGTTAAGGTTAGGTTAGGATTAGGTTAGGTTTTGAACCAGCATGTATATCGACGAAAATTTGCACCATATATACCATATTTAGCAATATTTTGTACTGGCTTGAAAAATATTTGGAAATTGACAACAAAAGAAATTATCAAAATGTTAAGAGGAATTTTGAAACAATTTTTAGGTTATTTTTCAACATGGTGAAAATTAAGAATATATTTATTCCCTGTCTTTGTTATTTCTCTCTTTTACAGACCTGGGTTAAGGTTAGGTTAGGATTAGGTTAGGTTTTAAACCAGCCTGTATATCGACGAGAAATTGTACACTCAAAAGGAAGAAGGCTCTTTTCAGATGGAGATATTGATTTGCTAAAGGAGTTATGTTGCAATTAATTTATAAATAGTATTGGAAACCAGTCGTAAGGATTTCAATATGTCGGCGGATGAATCGAATAACTGTAATAATATCGAGTTACTTGGATGTGATTTAAATAAGTCTGTACCTTTGCCGGTGATATCGTTCCATATACCTGGATGAGGAATTTAGTATTTCAAAAATGCAAACATCGTAAGGTGTTGCGAAAGTGGGACGCTTAACAAACCGTACGTAGAATAATATTTACAAATAAGCCCGCGCATTTTAAAAATAGCGCGCGGTCTCGAGGAATCCAGAAAGCATATTTCTTTCACACGAATTTAATATCGAACCTCGATTTTAATAAAATTTAATCAAAGATCGAAAATCGCCTCTCTCCTCGAGTATTTTGAGATTTTATTTCAGTGAAACGGGGAAGTTTTTTTTGCAAATGTATTTTAAGGTTAGGTGATAGGTCGTTAGTACTAGAGAGAGAGAGAGAGAGAGAGAGAGAGAGAGAGAGAGAGAGAGAGATAAGATCGATGATAAGATTAGTACAACTTTCCATTTAGATAAATGTATTTGTGCGAAAGTAATTAATCGATTAATCGAAGTCGAAGTCAAAAATACTCGAAATTAACACTGCAGTTATCAATAATAATTTTTTCCACCTCGATACCCTCTTGATAATTTTATTATTCATTTGGTCAAGATTATTAACACTATAGAGACCGATAATAATATTCCTTATTTCGATTTTCGATCAAAGAATTTTTTAATTTTTGCATTCTATGAAACACAAAAATTCTAAATTTCTGGTCAATGGA